ATCGTTGAACTGTAGCTGTAGTGGCGGTTTCGTAAATAGGGTGGTGCACTTCTTGTGTGGAGAGAACGGCTGCTTGCTGGAGTTGCAGATAGTGATATCGATGGTAGGCTTCGGATAGGGCTATCTCTTGCCAATGAACTCTAGGACGGCCAGGCCGAAAGGGAGAAGAGATCGTGCGCAGGGAGTGGGAGGGATTGAATGAAATTTGGTGCTCTAAGGTATCGTAATGTCGGAGGATGTGGCCAAGGTACCGTAAACGTTGCACAGAAATGCGTTGACTGGGAATCAGAAGGCGGGGCGCATGAGCGTAGGCTAATTGCAGGAGATAAGCATTAGAACATTCTTCACTGGAAGGAGCAACGACTCTGTGATAATAAGAGCTTTTGACTTGAAAGATTTGGCGGAGAACTTTATAATGAAGGGCATTAAATTTCGTGATTTGGGCAGGGGTATACACCTGCGATTCACATCCATACAGGAGGATAGCCATGACAATCTGCGAGTAGATTTGCAAACGCCGCCGGATAGGGAGGGTGGAGTTTGTGAAAACCGGGAAAAGAGATCGGAAAGCGCTAGAGGCCTGGGAGTACCGAAAGTTATAGTCGGCGAAAGAAGAACCATTGGCAGAGATAAATGCCCCAAGGTATTTTGCGGAATTGAGTGGAGGGAGCGGCGGGCCAAAAGGCATGTTGCCTGTGCAGTGAGAGCAAGGACAAGGGGCGCTAGGGTCAACGCAAGGAGACAAGTGGATCGGGAGAGTAGAGTGGAGGCAAAGGAGTTGGCACTTATTTGGGTTGAGGAAAAGGCCTCGTTTGCAGGCTTCGTGCTGCAAGGCGTGGAGCAATCGATGAAGGGTGAGCTGCGTACGGGCCATCAAAACAGTGTCATCTGCATATTCGATGTCAGGCATTTTGGCACGAGCTTCGCTGCTTGACGAACTGAGGTCATTGTGTTCCACTCGATGCATGTAGTGATTTGGGCCTCATGTTTTGAACCTATCTGGTTTTCCCACTTCTGGACATCTCCATGCAGTTGTGTTTTATTAGCCTGTTTCCCATTTGTCCTCAACCTAGTACCGAGCAATCACTGAGCCGACACGATGAGCCATGGCACCTGAACACGACTCGGCGGAACCGCCGGCAGAGCCGAAAATAGAAATCTCCCAGGAAGACTTTGCACTACTGCAAAAACTCAAAGAGCAACAGCGGCAGCAGCCGCCCACGCCCCAGGATGGCAGATCGGAATCGCTGAAGAGACAAAAAGTAGATGAGGAATTGCAGACCTTTGTTGACTCCTTAGCAGATCGTGACATAGACTGGATGGGCTTAGACCCTCAGCTCAGGCATCAGCTACAAACAGACGCCGGTGCCCGGCGAGACTTCCAACTTGTTCAGCTGACTCCGGCCGCAGCCAAAGCTTACGACCCTGCGAAGAAGAGCTTCACCACAGTGAACCTGAGCAAAAAGAGAATCTTCAGCGAATCGGACCAGATAACAGCCACCACGCCCACGCTGGCGATCCCCGAAGAATCCATCAAAACTGCAATGCTGGAGTATTACCGCCAGACGGTGCTGCCTAATCTAGAGAAGTTGTGGACAACCTGTGCCGAGTTCTATGCAAACACAATGATGGAAGCCCAGTACGGGCAACTCCACTTCGACATGGTTGACACGCGGCTGCGGTCGCTGGAGCAGTCCCGGTCCAACAGGACCATTCTGATCCGAGGGCTGCCAGCTTTCGGGTACTCCAGGTCCGCGCTTGAAAAGAATGTGCGGTACTTTCTCTCAAAGGCGTCCCTTGATTTCTCCTGTGTTGCAGCCATGCACACACACGTGGTGACTTCCTCTTCGAGCATCATGCGCCTGGAGTTGACGACAGAGGAGCAACGTCGACAGCTTTTTCAGGCAATGCGCACTTCCAAGCAGATGCGGCGGCTGCCCGACCACGAGGAAAAAGCCATTGTGGAGCAGCACTTGCCCACAGACGAGCGCATCGCCCTCCAACCCTACTATGCAATGCTTGACATCTTGCAACAGCTTGGCCCGGCCGGAGCCCATGGGGAACTACAAGCAGACCGTAACACCTTGCAGATTTAGGGAGACAAAGCCCAGACTCCGTGCCCGTTGCTGGCCCAAGTGTGCTACTTGCTGGACCACCGCTTTGCGCGGCGGTACGTTTGTGTGGTCTTCGTGGCAGAAGAGTTTTATGATGGCACCCTGGCCAAGTGGCATGAAGCTTTTTCTTCTCGAATGCGATCCACGCTGCAGCTGATGCAAGCTCTTCAAAGGGCAGTTGGAGACAATACCACAGTGGCCCGACATTCCTGGAACAAAGCGTTCGATTTAGCAAACATTCCAGATCCGCAGTTGCACTTTGAATATCCGCTGATTCCTTTGAGCATGTCGAGTTCTTTGGCAGCCCTCCTTGAGAAGCATCCCTCTCTCCCCTTGCAGGGGGCCTCAGGCCTTTTGGCCACTGTGTCCCAAGTTTTTCAAGATTATGGGGTGCAAGTGGAAGAGTATGGGAAAGGGAGCGCGAAGGGCGCTCTCCGAGACAAAGGATCAGAATCGCCCAAGAAAGGAAAATCGAAAGGCGTTAAGCCTTGGTCCAAGTGGCAAGACCGTGCTCCAGACCAGTCCCGCTGGCAATGGCGCAAAGATGATGACTCCCAAGATGGCCCTTCAGGCTCCTCTTGGTCTTCACAGCCGAAGTCCAACCGCGCCTGGACAAATTGGAGTGCCCGCCCAACAGGAAAAGGCCGCTGCACCGCAAAGGGCAGCTCATGTGGTGGCCGCTCCTGGGATTTTATGTTGCGCCAGCTTTGTCTCTGCGCATTGGGCGTAAATCTGGACTGTCGTGAGTGCAGCAAATATGCCGCTCCTCCAGGCAGCGTGAAGCAGTCGGCTCCTGTGAAAACTGTGTGGTGCCCAGGCATTGCCGCTGCAATGCGCGGCTTGGCTTTGGCACTTGTGGCTTGTGCCAGGCGCATGTGGCGTACTGGAAAGCTGGCCAGAGGACAGTCCCTCCGTTTCGGCTTGCAGAAATCTATCAGGTGGACCGCATTTTGTACGACTATGATGTCACGCAATACGACCCCACACAGCTGGAGACCTACATTGACGAGCTCCGAGGCCACATTGGTGATGTGGACCTGGCAGACTTCACCACAAAAGAGTGGGCCAACGCTTGGATCCTCCGAGTACTCACTCACGCACACCATTTCCTGCCCTTGCTCCAGTCAGCAGTGCAACCTTTTGAAATCAATCTGCAGCAGACGGAAGAATATTTGTACAACGCTGGGTGCGTCATCACTTCGCTGATCAGCGATCACTTTGCGACCATTGACTTTTTTGCTTACATTTTCTCCGAGCTATGGCAGCGCGATTGGGAAGCCTTGACCTCACCTTGGGCATTGCAAGGAGATATACCCACTCTAGACCTGAACACAGCTGCGGTTGTTCCGTGGGATGCGATGGTTGCCAGCTCTCTGCAGCTGGCCTTCGAAGAACTGGAAGCAGGTGGGCTCCTGCATTGCGAGCCTGGAGTCAAGCTCAGTAGAGACCTGTTTGAATTATTAGGCACTTCTTTCGAAGCAGATGATTTCCCGCCTTTTGAAGCTGTCCTCCATCGTTTTGCTGACTGGCTGCTACACTCAGCTTCTAACGTGGATATTTTCTTGGGACGTGATTTTTATACCAATGACGCTTTAAGGTCATTGAGTGCTTTTGCCACGGGTTTCACGGACGTTTGTTTCTGGCAGATCTCTCGAGCCTACATGGTTCACACAGCGAAGAATCCGAAGGCTCAACACCAAGTGCCCAATGCGGCGCTCAACTATTTGTATGATCAGCTGGTTCCCTTGCTCGGGCTCCCCCGGGACGATGCCCAATGGGCCCTCACTCAGCGCCGTTTCAATAATAAGGGCAATTCACTCGAGGTTCTGTTGTTCATATATGCTGAGGAAGGGTCACATGGGGATTTCTGGCAGTTGCTCTGGGTTTTGTTATGTACCAATACAAGGATTCACGGTTCCCTTGGATTGTTCAAGTCGTCTGACTAGTTACTTTGTCAGCTGCGAGTGAACTAACGACTTTTTCCCCGAAATTTTTGATCCTGGGATACGACGAAGACTACGAACTGCTGCAGGAACAATCTACTCAGGAAATTGCGCCTACTAAGGAAGGCGCACCAACTGGCCAAAGGCCATCCTCCCCTCCTATAAAGGAGTGCTCCCAATGGTTGTCCGTTGTTGATTACGGTCAGCGCCAAGTGCCCAGCTGGCAGGTCGATCCCAGCAAGTTTTTTGAAGCGTTCACACGGCAACTCCCACAGAGTTGTTTTGATGTTCCCACCAAATGCTGGGATGGCCGGCTCGTGACCACGATTTTTTGCAATTGCTTGGTACAAAAATGGGCCGTGGACAGAATTGTTTGCAACAGACAGGCCCATCTCATCAATGGCAACCACGTTTGCCACCACTGCGGCCTCTTCTTGGGTACATGGTACTACTATAATTTATGAAAGAAATTTAAGTCTAAGTCTGTCAGCCTCCCGAACGGAATGTTGGTTCACCATTTTCGGCTCTGTAAGCATCATTTATCAATATGGTATTATCGGAGGGGGAACAGAGTATACACAAGTTTTACAGGACTTGCCAAAACGAATCTCATAAAGCAGCTCGAAGCAGCGGGGGCCGCCAGCGGCTTGCCGGGAGACCATGGCTTTTCACCCCACAAGCTATTCTTCCAATACCAGCGACATACTCTCCCACCGGTCGTTCAAGCAAGTGGTCACGAACCCCGCAGTCCGTCGGGGGGGCAGAGGACACACCAAAATTTAAGATCAGCGCAAGCAGTTCGCTGCAGACTCAGCTCCTACCAGGAAAGCAGGCGTAGAAGCCGGCGGGACTACCGCCATTGGCGCTCGGCTCTCGGCAACATTGCGAACCTCACCCTAGTGCAATATTGCCCCCCCCCCGAAAAGGGTGCAAGTTAGTGTTCAGCAACAAACTAGGTTCTTCGGCCCCGTGAAACCTTTCCCTGGTTGCACTTCTCGTGCTTTCTTTTTTCGTAAATTCATCCAAAGAGATCGCCTCTCCCATCCGCCGACCCGCTTCCGCACTATGGCTACGCCCAACCGTCGAATAGTCCTCCATTCCTGGAATGTTGAAACGCTCCGCGGAGTTGGTAAATTTGAAATGCCCGCGCAGATCTTTAACTCGATCCCGCTGGGTATTGTTTGCTTGCAGGAAACCAAGAGTCTGTACAGTGATCATGTTCAAGCCTTGAATTGGCATTTCTGTTTGTCTGGTGACGCTTCTGATCCGCATGCAGGTGTGGGCTTCGCTGTTCCCCAACTCCTCCACCCACTTGTTCACGACTTTATCCCGCTTTCTTCTCGCATCGCCATTCTCCAACTCTCCACCAAGCCTTTTCCCATCTCCCTCTTCTGTATATATGCCCCGTCTCAACTTGCAGACGCCCAACAGGACGTACACCAAAAAAACAGCTTCTGGCAATCCCTTGATGCCTGGTATGCTCAGTTTTCCTCCCATTGCTACCAAATCCTCATGGGTGACTTCAACGCGCGTTTGTACACCAATCAAGTGGAAGGACTCCGCAGACACATCGGCCCGATACTTTTTGCTCCGACCACTGATGACGATCTTGAAACAAACACTTTTACGCACATGGTTGACTTTCTCGTTCAGCATGATCTCAGCATCATCTCCTCCATGCGGCATCGCACTCTTTTCCGGTCTATTGCTTCGGCCCCTTCCCTTCGTCTCCCTTGGTTTCATCGACATTATCTATTAACCGCTTATTTTGCTTTTCCTGACTTTGTCCCGAAATCGAAGCCAGCGGCTCCTCCCCCTTTTCTGCCGCCCACCAGAGAACAAAAATTAAGATTCCAGGCAGCTGTCGCAGAACAATTTTGTCAGCATTCCTCCGTGCTTTGCCGCGCTCCTTCCTCTGAACCCATACCAGAATCCCTCCATATCTATACTGATGGATCGTGTCCTGAGCAGTGCAACGTTGGCCTTCATAACCCTGCTGGCTGGGGTGTCTATCTCGCTGCGCCTTTTCACTTGGACCATTTTGGCCCTGTCGGTCACCTCCCTTTCCAGGTGCCTGGTAGCAACAACACGGGCGAGCTCCAAGCACTCCTCGAAGCTTTATGGTTGATCCCCTACCTGCCTACGCCCATACGCGCCCTCACGTTGTTCACGGATTCGCAGTATGCCCTCGACCTTCTACTCGGGCTTGCCCTCCCTTCTGCAAACCCCGAACTGGCCAACCTTCTAATGGCAACTTTCTATGAAATAACCTCTCAAATGCCTGTGGCAGTGGTCAAAGTAAAAGGTCATTCCGGAACGTTCGGCAATGACCGGGCCGATTTCAACGCCGCTCGTGGGGTTACCTCCTCACACCTTGGCCGCTTTGCTTTCACTCCTCCCGATATCCCTGCTGCTGCCCCTGACCATCTCCTGGGGGGCCATTCCATCACCAATTTGGTGGCCATTTGCCTCCCGATCACGTTTTCAAAATT